TAAGCTAAAATTTGCGAGCAGTGTCTAATGGTCTGATAGCGGAGTTAACATTCGACCATATAAAATCTTGTGGAAACGACTCACAACGAAGACAATGAAAAGTTACTCATCTCTATCTGACCATTTCTGTTCCGCCGTAGTTAGTGTGTAAGGTGCATGTAGAACAGCCTTTTCCGTCGCACCCGGAAATTAATGAGAGACGACGGCAACGACTGTAAACGCTGAATCGTCCATACTCGTGTGGATCGGCATGGACAAACTGTAGTGTATCAGTAGTAATTTAGAGCTAGTAATCGTCTTTGTTTTGCCAAAAGCTACTTCACATCCTTTTGTCCAATTCCTGATGTTGTTCTTATTCAGTGGGTTCGGATGTCATGCATAGATGGCACAAAGACTGAGTAGTAGCCAATTGATCACAAAATAGATCATAGGACAGAGACATTGGTGGCAGTCGACATCAGTCAAACAGCCTGAATGTTTTCAGATTCTGGTCGGTGGCCTGAGGCGTCAAAGACAAATCCCAAGTACTTTACCGACTTTAAGAAAAATTGGCACTTTTCTGGACGTAGACGGAAACTATTGTCACTGATGTGTTGTAGCACAGCCGTTGTGCGTTCTCATTTAGCATAATGAATAAATCTGAGGGAGCTGGCAGAGAGTAATGATACTGTTCAAGGGTTGGGTTAAGGCCTGCGCGTAAGTTATGCTACGTGCCCCCTTGATAACCACAATTGCTTCCATCATGGATGTGACAGCATCCGACGTACAACCCTGAAACAGTATGTGGAACCCTTTCAGCACACAAGTGCATGGTCCGTTTAGCTACTTACTAGAGTCGCACCGATTGCCGATAGAATGAAAACAAGCTGTTCCCCCTCCAACCTTTGAGGATGAAGTAGAAAAGATTCAGCCTGTTAAAGACCAGTCTCACTACTCCCGAAACCGTCAATTGGTGGCAAGAAATAAGATCTCAGACCTAATAACAAGGATGTGACCAGAATTTCAAGTTATGAAAGTAAGCGTAAACAGTAAAAATTCGTTGTTATTAACGCGTCGAAATTCAATAAGAAAAATATTAATCTTCATAAGAATAGTTTTTGAAAAGTTATGAGCCCCTTACGTCCTACCACAACACTGAATATACAATGAAAAACAGGAATATCTTCATATGAAGTAACTCTCGGTTTTCTCCTTTCTATCAATGGAACACTAATTATCCTTAGACGAATATCTACACTAGACACCCTCTTGGTATCTATTTTACAGAACTTCGACATAACCTGGATCAACGACATATGACTGGCCTGAATAGGACGTGAACGTACTTCCGAGTCAACAAGATTAACAATAAGGGTAAGAAAATATACAATACGTCTAATACCAATCAGACTATCTAAAAACCTTTGCCCACGCATCATTATCGAATAATCACTGTGTATATTTTTTTCAGAAAGGTGCCTCTAAGTAACCGAAACCATCAAACAGATCCTAATACTTTGGGAAATATTGTGACCCTTCTATTTTATACTTTGACAAGGTTCCTTGAATTTTAAGATTGTAATGTGAAAGTTTGAGTCTAAACTTTCAATCCAGAACGAAGAAAATTGAGGTATTACAGTACCCTACTTGATCACTCCATCTGAATTATTAATAGACAGTTAGTTTGCGGATTTCAGTATACCACCAATGTGCCAGATGGCAATCATTAAACATGATTTATATGAATTATTCTTAAAATTTAGTGGAACAACTTCGCTTTTATTCAGTCTCTAAGAAATAGAACACACTAAATCTATAGGGCCAACAAAATGTCACTTGCACTCAGCCAAATTACTGGCAGTCATGTCACCCAATATTGGGCAGTTTACCGATCCCCATCAAAGTCGAGGACAACAAACACGCATTGGTAAAGTTCACGCCATGGACTGGCCCATGCGCCAGTGTTCGTACTTTGTTTCTTGTATCGCGAAGTGTGACTTCGACGTAAGCTAGGACGTTTCAACATTCCCGTCCAACTTAACTAGACCTCAAGTTTACGCACGCGATCGAAGACTATGTAAACCATGATAAGAAGCAAATAGGAAATTCATCAAAATGGGTATTAGTCTACTTTAGAAATGGCTGCATTGAATAATTCGTATATAGCTGAATAAAAAAAACATACTGAAGGAAGGTAACTTTATCCAGTGACTTCGAACAACCTCGGAAAAAATTAAGTAGATTATTTTTGAGAAAAAAAACATGGACACCACAATCGTGAACTGTGTATCGAAAAATAATTCGGATCAATATTGCCGGATTCGGAGATGTGATTTAGATTCTAAAGACTTTGAAGATTTTTGTTATAAAAAGAAATTTGATCTACACGATCTTATGAGACAAGATAGAGCAAAGTTGATAAGAAGTGCTGTCTCTGGTTCATTGCTAGGAAAACGTTGAGGATTTAATTACACGCCTACCCACTAATCAAAATATTTAAATGGTTGACCACTCATCTTTTTTTCTAAACGTAATTTTAGGAACTGGAAGAATTCATCCGGGCATCCACTTGGTGCTTTATTCTCAACATCTTCCGGGATTTCTTTCTAAGTTTCTTTACCATTCGGGAAAATTTTTACTCATAATATATGACTAAAGACATCTCTTTTTTTTCTACACGTATTTAGAAACTGACCTGTACTTGTAAGTTAGTCAGCTACAACGTAGCACCAGGCACACATATGCATTCGCCCATGTTGCCACACCTCATTAGCACAACAAGGCGAACACCAAATTCATTGAACTAGTTACTTCAATAGCAGTAATATATAAAAGAAAGATTGTGTAAAAGCATATAGTAAAGGAAGAAAGAATCAGTTTGTAGAAATAAAGCAATTTTAAGGGAAGACAGAGTGTACACACCTACGCCATTGTGATTGATTCTGAACCATGTAACCCACAGTTTCCAACCATTGGTTACGATAGTCACGCGGACTCCAACCAAGTAGTCTGCATCTACCAACATGGCTCAAACCAGAATTTAATGACTCCAAGGACTGGTGCCACGTTTTGGTTTGGTCGCCCCTAACTTCATTCCAACCATTCCCAACAGTAGTCAGTATTGCGCATCGTGGTAATCGGTGTTCAGGCACACGTAGCACGTGGCCCAACCAACTGATTTACCATCATTCCATAACACCCTGCATCTAACCTCACTAATACTTACCCGGTGATCCCAGTAGATGCGAGCAATATTTCTAAGGCATCTGTGGTCAAATACTTGTAGCTTACGAGTATCTTCTTCTTTACGTTCCGCAGCCGTAAAGTAGAACAGAACGAACTACCGCACGGTATACTCGTCGGCTAATCGACAAACGGATATCTCGCCTTCGCCCCAGGTGACGTAAGTTGGCAAAAACCAAACGAGCTTTCCAAATCTTGGCATAGATTTCGTCAGACACCAACCCATTAAAGCTGATCAGACTTCCAAGATAAGTGAAGTACCTGTATGTTTGAGAATACGGCACTGCGAAACCGTTTGTTTTGACCATCTTACGATTCATTTTAATCGTCTGAAAATCTATTCTGTCTATAAACCAACCATCATAAACTCCGCAATTGTTTCCATCATAGTTTTTTGTTTGACAACGTATGTAAAAATTTACATTTAAAATAAATAACAATTCGCAATCCCAGACCAAGTGCTGCCATTTGATATTCTTGATTCTCGATGAGACAAGACAATAGGAGTTTTAATTATGGTTGCTGCCTATTTGTGTTTTCAGTGATTTCATCTTTGAGATAGTGCTAATCCAGTAGGTTGTATCAGTTAGATAGGTACGAAGAGTAAATCAGTCAAACATAATGTAAGAACAGGCACAAATACGTCGGTTAAAGTCACTACACTACATCAGAAATGTGAGACGCCAGAACAAGTAGTAACAATATTAGTGATAGCAGGGAAGATCAAGGACAGATATGATCACAGAAACATGGATTCGTAGGACTAAATATAAAAGATAATTAATAAACTTGGGATCTAAGGTAAGTCAGAGTGAATGCATATGGGTCACTGTGAATGATTATGAACCATATTAACCAGTCTCTAAACATTGGTCACGATAATCATGCCGACCTCAACCATATTGTCTGTACCTAAAAACACTGCTGTCCAACAGTCAATAGCTTCATGGACTGATACCATGTCCTAGTTTGGGTGTGCCTAGCTTTTTTCCAACCTATACGAGTCAACATCATGCATTCTGGTGGGGAACGGTTGGACAAAAGTAATGCATATCCCGAACACCTTATTCGATGATGGGGCGTGAGCAAGTTTACTGGCATGAAATAAGATGATTATCAGGTCACTGAAATTACTGGCTTCAACCATCGACTGAACATAGATGACAATCAATGAACTCAATAGTTATACTCGTGATAAATTGATAATTAATTATTTAGGAAGGTCTTTTTGATAAACTCTGTGGAACGCTGCTGCGTGTCAAGACACTGATATATATGCTAGATTCAGTATCGTGATGACACAGGTCCTATCATTATACATGTGTAAAGCATTTAAGGGAGTTACTTGTGTAAGACAATATGACAGAACTTGTCGTAGGAACTGTGGTATAGCTCAGTTATTTGTATATGCATTACGCCGCTGATCAAATTTCACCTTGTAGTTATAGTTCACTACAAAGTTGATGTAGTCCAGCTCTGTCGAAGAAAAACATAGTATTACATCAAAAATATACCGGTGTTTGCGACCTAATAGGTTAATTATCATTTTATTTAGGAATTGTTCTTGAGCCCAAGTGTTGGGGAAGATACGAAATTCGAACCGATCAAAGGATTCTCACGTTCTAAAATGAAAAGACAGCTGCCACTCCAGCCTTCATCTAAAAACGCATAATGATCCTGATCTATGAGGACATTCCATTCGCCTTAAAGTAAACTGCTATGTATGATCGACATCTGACCTTAGGCTGAATTCCTGCTTATGACTGGACCCCAACGTCCAATTTATTGCAATGATACATACTGATTACGAAATAACAAACCCGTTTTACCTGGAAGAAAGCACCATAATACAAACAGACGGGAGCAATTCAGTGCACATTTTCTCTGAGTCATATGGTGCCCCTTTATATATTTCTTTACATCCATTTTCATTCAAATTAACTATCCAAATGCTGTCATCATGTACAAGTTGTGTATTTTCATTTTACTTAGTTTTTATTCTAAGTGATTTTTAGAAAAATTAGTTCTCACTGTGGCATCGTTTGATATTAGTAACCTGTGGTGTTAGGGGATACTTGCAAACTTTTCTGTTGCACTCCACTGACTTGGTCATTTATCCTAGAATCGAATGAAAATTTCATGTATAATAACCCTCGCATTTCAGCTGTCAGCCTAGGTTAAACATTTTAGAACAGTTAAAACATCCATATACCATACAGGATGGAAACAGTTAAGCGGAAAAATATTTTTCTTAATAAGCCAAAGCTCCAAGTAATTAAGTCAACATGTTTGGTGATTGTTGGCAATCACTAGTAACGCCTTATTCTTCAGTTTTGGTAGCTAGGTAGAGATTCTCACAAAGAATTCAAAGCCAAGTGCATTAACATGTACTTGGTCTATGAAATACATTACTGAGATAAGTCTTCTAGATAACTCTCGAAACAATATTATAGTTTTTTTGAATATGAAAGGTAGTGTTGACTTTGAACTAGTCAGTCCCTTTATCAGGATTCCTGTTCATTCCATTAGCTATATTGACTAGAATGAAGACACAAATACCCAACGTAGCAAAAAAGAAATCGCTAATGCCTCGCTAAGTTAGTAACTACCTTCCTAATTCATGTGACTGTAAATGTGAGACCATGGACATCTTAGATTATGACATGAAAACCAAATGTTAAGGTCCCGAATAATAAGAAATCACGATGAAGGGGCAGATAGATGTCCGTCACTTCACACTGAACCCGTCAGGTTTGTTATGAACTAGTGGGCACTTGAAGTATCTACCAACAGATTATACGGTGTTTTGTGACGAAAGCCGCAGGAGTGCATAGTTCTCATACTTAATTGTAACCATATATGAAAATGTTGGAATGCTGAGTATACCCTAGCAAGGAGCCACACAATGTAACCAGGTAACATCGTGACACTGCTGTTAACTGCTCTTACAAACCCACTTAGTGCATAACTCACCACTTCGAAAGAACCATTCCTCTACTTTGTCGTTTATAGGGTCTAGAGTTTCATGAAGTTCTTTTAACTTTGGGTTTTGATTTCATGAAATAAACTTTTATTACATTAAAGGTAACGACTAGTGACAACTGTTTCAACAATGGTGTCACTCGACACAGCTGGAATAATGACAAGCTGTACTTGAGACTAAACTAGTTTGAGGGTTAAAAAACTTGGTACAAAATATAGAGAATAACTTCCAACAAAAGGTTTATTCGACATTCACTTTAGGATGACTTTACATTAGAATTCGGGCCTCTTCTTCTGCCACCAGGTTGTTGTACAACTGCTACAAATCGCTTGTTGTACTGCATCCTACGCTTAGCTCTACCTCGTGGAGACTTCCGTTTTTCTTGTTTTTCAACCTTCGGGGTTTGCCCACGAACTTTACCAGCACGCGCAAGTGATCCGTGTACCTTACCTGAAGAAATGTGAACAGACAAAAAAATACGTACCTCCTAATGCCGGAACAACGACATCGATAGATGCGTCACTCGACAGAGATACCAAAGATTGAGAATCACTAATTAACGATCCACAGTTGTATAACTGCAAGTTATCCAGTGGCAAATTGTCTTTGTTTGCCAGTAAAATTTTTAGATCTGCAGCAGTTGGACAGTCATTTGTGTCTATGACTCGGGTATCAAACGACTTAACGATCACCTTCATGATTCCCAATCAAATAACTTATCACGCCAAATTTGTAATCCCGCAACTACCTTACTGTATATTGAACCAGTGTTTCGCCTCATATTTCATTTGTTAAACTGTCTTATATCAGAAAGGAATCTTGATAAGGTCTAGAAGTGATTACGGACGGAACATGCTATTAGTTTGAGAAATCTAGCAATAAAAAGCAGTCTCATTGCATGTTTATCAAGTAAGTAATAACCTATTAATAAGCCAGGCAAACTTAATATTTTGTAGACAGCCTCGATTCTTCAATTTGACTGCTAAAGGCAGTTATTTGGAGAATTACATACTAGAGTTGAGCGTGTTCACTAAAGATTGTGAAATGGAGGGACCGTGAATTCCAAAAGTATATAATGAGGACGATCACATGCAATAAGTTGTGACATTATTTGCTTAGAGTTCGGTCATTCGAAGAAATTATCCATTCATTTGAAACCAATCTTTTGGAATGCGAATGTGGCTCAGTAATCTAGGTCATAGAGAAGAGGTTTTTTGCAAACCCTTTGCTTCTTCATTAAGGAGTTATATTGAGTCGGATTTTTGATCTATTGCCTTTCTTCATTCTTAGAAGTCTTCAAGTGATAGGATGGCCTCATATTCCATAAACATAGCTTTACTACTTGATGGTCCGCACTTTCGAAGCATATGTGACAGTCTTTAGTTATTACACTGAACAAAACGGTTACTGATGTTATCGGAAGGCACTTGGAATGCTTATGGGAAAATATGTTTAGTGATTTCTTGCTTCTAACTCATACGCGTTTCCTTCCCACTATGGTCACACAACTATGGACCATATATATTGACGTAAATCTAGTCTTTTAAAGGTAGGTATCATTGGAAGTGGATCAAGAGACGAAGTGCTAAACTCCCAAGTTACCATAATGCGTTGACGTTACAAACATAACATAGTGAAGGTGATATGCGGAAACTGCTACATTCATTGTTTAGGGATAGATTTCTACCTACACGTATCAACTTTACATTGTTGTTACGTACGGCATATACTAATTTGGCTAACCGTTGGATCAGCGGAAGATATAACTCACGATTAAGGTATATCTCGCGATTTATGATCCCATGTATTGGAGACAAACGCATATATTTTAACTGAAAACAAAAATTTTAAACCATACTGTGAATCTAGGCCCTCCCAACAACGAAGCAGCACCAATGGACCTCACACTCAATTTCAATAAAGCAAGAACAAACATTGATACAAAATGGTATGAATTCATAGTATTTCGAGATTTCTCGTCAGCTGCTTACAACCAAATATGTAGTAGAATTTTACATTGAGATAAGAAATAGTGTAAAACGATTGGCATAAATGAATGTAAATGATTAGAATGACAAAGGTTTACAATAATAACTATATATATATATATATATATATATATATATATATATATATATATGCAAGAACAGGTCAGAGGTTAATTAATGTTAGAATTAAGAAAACAATTCAGGAAAAATGGTCTAATGGTTTAGTGGAATCATACATTGTGTGATATTTTCAGAGGTAGTGAAGGATTCATGGAATTAAGTGATAAAATAGGTTACATAATAGTTGAATGGAAGTTGAAAAGCTAACAAAATTTAAGAGGAAAAGTGGGCGGAAATGTGTGGATGAAAGGTTGGTTTACAAGTTCAGTAATGGGAGAGGAGGGGAATATAACACAAATGAAATATTTTAAAAATGCAATTGGAGCTACTGAGAAAAGAGGACTTGTCGATTTTAGTTTGTGTGAATGAGCAGTTCGTTTCCCACTCAATTTGGCCCACCAACAATTGACGAGATCAGCATGGCCATCAGACAAATAAAGAGCGGTAAAGCAGCAGGACCAGACAACATTCCAGAAGCAGACATAACAGCACCTGCAAAGATACTCAACATTCTCCTCAGCAAGATTTAAGATGAAGAACAAGCACCAAAAGGCCGGAAAAAAGGACACCTGATCAAAATGCCGAAGAACGGTGATCTCAGCAAGTGTGAGAACTACAGAGGCATAACTCCATCAAAACCAGGAAAAATCTGCGGCAATGTGTTGTTAAACGGAATGAAGGACTCCGTAGACACCCAACTTCGAGACCAACAGGATGGATTCTGTAAGGATCGATCGTGTACAGACCAAATAGCAACTCTACGTATCATTGTGGAACAATCAATTGGATGGAATTCACCACTCTACATCACCTTCGTTGACTACGAAAAAGCATTTGATACCGTGGACAGAACAACACTACAGAAGCTTCTTCGACACTACGGCGTGTTTCAGAAGATAGTCAATATCATACGGAATTCCTATGATGAATTGAACTGCAAAATCTTGCATGGAGGACAGTTTAACAAACTCGTTCTAAGTAAAGACCGGCGTCTGGCAAGGTTACTTACTCTCACACTTCCTCTTTCTCTTAATGATCGACTGGATCATGAAGACGTCAACATCTGGGGAGAAGCACGGTATACAATGGACAGATAGGATGCGGCTGGACGATCTAGAATTCTCAGATGATCTTGCTCTTCTATCGCAAACGCGACAACAAATGAAGGAGAAGACGAACAGTGTAGCAGTAGCCTCAGCAGCATTAGGTCTCAATATACACAAAGGGAAAAGCAAGATTCTCCGATACAACACAGCATGCACCAATCCAACCACAATTGACGGAGAAGATTTGTAAGATGTAAAACCTTTAAATATCTGGGCAGGATCATTGATGAACAGGGTGGATCTGATGCAGATGTGAAGGGGGGATCGGCAAAGCAAGAGCAGCATATTTACAACTGAGGAACATCTGGAAATCAAAGCAGTTGTCAACCGACATCAAAGTCAGGATTTCCAGTACAAATGTCAAAACAGTTCTACTGTATGGGGCGGAACCCTGGTGAACTACGAAATCCATCATCCAGAAGATGCAAGTGTTTATTAATAGTTGTCTGCGCCAAATACTTCGGATCCGTTGGCCAGACACTATTAGCAACAACCTACTGTGGGAGAGAACAAACCAGATTGCAGTGGAGGAAGAAATGAAGACGAAGCGCTGGATGTGGATAGGACACACAGTGAGGAAAGCACTCAACTGTGTCACAAGGCAAGCCCCCACTTGGAATCCTCAAGACTAAAGGAGAAGATGAAGACCAAAGAACACACTATGCCGAGAAATGGAGAGAAACATTAGAAGAATGAACAACAACTGGATGGAATTAGAAAGGAACACTCTGGATAGAGTGGGTTGGAGAATGCTGGACGATGGCCTGTGATCTATTGGGAGTAACAGGCGTAAGTAAGTATGTAATGCTGTCAATCAATAGTGGATTAATCTTCATCTCTAAACCACCAAATAGGGAGCAGTAGTGTCATCGTAGTTGCAAACCTCGAACATACTTGGGCACTCACACGGAGTAGAATCCGAAAACTGTATGTTTTAAAATAAGCTTTTGATCATGTTAGAGTCTGATGGTGTGGTGTGTGCTACTGATGTCGATAGATATAAGTAGTGTGTATCATCAATCGGAAATAAAAAAATCTGGCTGCAGAAGATTAAGATGGTCGAAGAAATGAGAACGAAAACAGAGAATAATTGCTGTAGAAACGAAAGAACAATCGATTCTGAGACGATTGATTTACATTTTTTAACTGAAGTATTCACTGTATGGTTCTCAGATTTTACTAAGAAATTCTGCAATTTTGTGTTCAAATACTTTCGATTATCCCCCACTCATGTTTTCGTTTGCTACAATGAAATAAAGGGTTTGACAGAGAACAGTCTTCGCCCAGCGTCTTCAGCGAGTATCTATCAGAACCGGTCAGCTACATACCCATCACAAGATGCTTTTACGTAAAGCGATGTAACTGAAAACGTTTGTCAATGATAGTTTCTGTGGATTGGAATAGCTTTGTGTTCTCCGTAAATTAAACCTTTTTAAATATAATCTGCATCACAGAATGAGTTTTGGTAGGGGATCATAGAGGCTATTGAAAACTAAGCAAATACCTTGTCCGAGTTTCATCGAAAGAAATTAGCATTTTTCTCCTTAAAATATTAAAAATTCCTATCTCGTTGTTTAGAACAACATATATAAGTGAACAATATTGTTTTCATTTACATCATCATCAAGCTTTACTCTAATATACATGAATATATTTATGCATGTATAAAACTACTAAACCAACCAAGGATAAGAATAGGATAGCTTACACAAATGAACAGTTTTGGTACTATTGTCCACTTCGTAATTAGTACTACTATTGTAATAGACCTAATCCTAAAATTGTAGATATGTCATTATGTGAATGCTTAATCTATAAGATCTTGCGTGAAAGTCACATTATCGTCTATTCTGACTAATCGTATCGTGACAATCAATAATATGATAATTAGAACTTCGGAAGAACACATTTAAGCTGAAGATAGAATAATATATTTTGTGTGAACAAAGACAAGTCATACAGAATGACCACGTCTACGAGGCTGGGCCATGTCATCCAATTAACTCTTCCTGCCTCCCCCATTGTTGTCCTTCTCCCCACGTTCACTGTTAGATATGCATTTTCTCAGTCATCTCACGTTCAGCTTTGAGGATTGTGTGGTTAGGACCAATACCACTACACTGTAAGTAAAAAGCACAAACTGATAGCGTGATAACATGCATACTAATTTCGATGGGAATGACAAGGGCCAAATTCAACGCTTCATAATAATAAGTAGGTCAACAACCTGAAAAAAGACACTGAAATAATGTCAATTAAAAAATGTGAAATTTTGTGACAACAAGTGTTCTGTTAACTGTACAGCGAAGTGTATATTTAAAAGGTTGGGTGCCAAAAATAAATGGACCAAGAACCTCGAGAATAACAATTAGTAAAATCATTCGTTAAAACTAATTCGGCCGAGGAAGATGTTAGGGCGTTACGAATTTCTAATGAACACAGGACCTTGGCTAACTAGGTTGAGTCTCCATAAGTCTCGTCACG